CCTAAAAGAACCCGACCCTGTGGTCCTAGCGCTTCGTGTTCTTATATATATACGGTTATACCTCTATATACATACACACACACACACACACACACACTTCATTGTAATACTTTAACTATATATATCGCTTGTTATAGTATATGTTTGTGTGTGTGTGTGTGTATATATATATATATATATAAAACACGCTTCGTTGTACTACTTTAACTATATATATAGCATGTTATATATTGTATATGTTAGTATATTCATTATTTGTATTACAAAAGTGTTAACGGATTACATTTATATTATTTAGATAGTAAATATAAAAGTAATTCAAAAGTTTGACCAATGTTGACGTAATAACCGACCAACTTTGGTCGGTTATTTTGCAAAAAATAACAATTATCGACCAAAGTTGGTCGATAAATGTTTCCCCTGCATTAACCGACCAACGTTGGTCGGTAATTTTAAATATAAATTCTTAAATATTATAAAATATTTTAAATAATAAAATTATTATTAAAATTTAAAAAATTGGGTCCAGATTACCGACCAACGTTGGTCGATAATCCAAAATTTTCTTTGACTAAGCAAGTCTGACCAGTTGGGTCAATTCGTTGACCAATTTACCGATCAACGTTGGTCGGTATTTAGTTTTAAAAAAATATAAAATTATTTTTTTCCAGTTTCCGTCCAAGCTGGACGGTTTTTGGTTGCTTTTTTTGACCAATCAACATTGGTCGGAAATATTTGGTCGGTTTTTAGCGGATTTCTAGTAGTGTATCACTTCTAGAGGTGGTAAATGCGTAGGTTAGATGTTGAATTTTTTGAACATTGCTCTCATCAGATTCTGCATCTGGTTTTATACCTATGAGACCTTTGGTGACTTCGCACTTCGCAGAGAGGCTGAATGCACCAAGCTGATAGATTAGACCTTAGCTGCATGGTAAATTTTGACACCAAAATATAATGATGATCAAAATGAGAAGGATTTGTTTTTTTTTTTTTTTTAAGNTGTTCAAACTCCCAACTTGTTTGAGACTAGGCATAGTTCGTTGCCCAGTCTTCACGCAGACAAGTAAAGAAGCAGAGCACAATAGTAATGAACTGTTCAAATAACTGAAGAGAGGAGAAGAAAAGAGATATAAAAGTGTCTCTTAATTAATAGCAAGCAAAAACTCCAAATATTACATTATTCATTGGATAAAATGCCAAGTAATAAACAGCATTTTACTACTTGCTACATTAAGCATATCATCAACACAAACAATCACAACCACAACCTTTCAGTTTCCCCTCTAATTCAAAAGAAAGGAAAACGAAAACGAACAATAGATGTCTAACGAGTTGAAACACTTCTTCTAGCATCAGAGAATTTAGAACCTAAATAAGTGGATTCACAATATATATGATTACGCAGAACCCACTCTATATCCATCTTTTGTCTTTAAGCAATGCCCCACTTTTGTCTCGCCATAACAATAAAATCATAGACTTTGTCAGGGTCAGCAAGAGACTTTGAGACACTCTCCTTTTGCACACACTTTTTTGCCCATTCCACAATCTTAGGACACTCTGCTTCTATGCTAAAGTTGCCAAATTTCTCATAAGAAGGGAACCAGCTATAGTAAGGAATAAGGGCCATATCCACAAACCCAAAACTTTCCCCTCCAAAGTATGGCTTGTCTCCTAACTCCCCTTCCAACAGTTTCAGGCACTCTACCAATTCTTTATTTGCTGCTTCTTGGTCCTCCTTTTTTGTAGTCCAGATCTTCCTTCCAGTATCATAAATCTGCAATCTCCCAAAAAATAAATAATAAAAGAAGATTATATCTTTTTCTACCAAATTTAGCTCATAAAAATAGAACCCTCCATTGTGCGCAAGTTTGGATGAGTTGGTCCGGACATATATTTTCATTAGCATGTCAGTTAGACATGACTCAAGTTAGGTCATCTAAAAGCTTAGGCCGATCTAGGCAGCTCGTATAACCTAATTGACTTACAAGAAAAACTTACCAACACATAGGAAAATAAGTTTTTCGATTGATTGGTTAGATTTAGTCATGATAAATAAATAAAAAAAACTCCAGTAGTTTAATTTGATAATTGAACAAATAATAAAAGAGCAAATACACAAATGAAAAATGATTTTGAGTTGGACGAGTTGAGATATGCTCATATATAATAAATTCAACCCGAATTTACCTAATTTAGTCCACCTCGACTATTTGGTACTCCTAATCTATTCCTTGACATTTTTTATTACATAAATCTTGAACTTTGACCAAAAATAATAAGAAAAACTAGCTCAGTTTCAAACAAGTTGTATGAATCCTCACTGACTACAATTCTCCATTTAAATCCATCTAAGCCCAACAATATGTAGAATAAAAATAAAGAATAAAGAATAATAAAAGTTCGTTATATTTTCGACTAGCATAAAAATCTCTAATTTGACTTAAAACATATTTTGTGATATTTTGCATACCTTTTTGCCAACATAATCAGCCCAAAACCTAGCTTGAGCTCTCTTATAAGGATCAGAAGGCATAAAAGGGGATTTGTCCTTCCAAACTTCATCTATATACTCAACAATAATGAGGGTTTCACAGATTGGTTTTCCATTATGAATCAAAACTGGAATTTTCTTGTGAATTGGGTTCATTTGTAGGAGAAGAGGGGTTTTGTTAAACAAGTCCTGCTCCTTGTATTCATACTCTATGCCTTTCTCAGCCAGGGCAATCCTAACCCTCATCCCAAACACGCTTACATAGGTATCCAAAAGGACAACTTCATCTGCCATTTTTTAACTGAAAATTAAGGAAGGATTGTTTAACAGAATTTCAATATAATATTATGTGCTCTGTACTGAAGGTAAGTCATAGTGCTATATATTATATTATATTAGAAGGGAACAAGAGGTTGGTACAAAGTTGATGTCGAGTGTGGACCATGCTAGAAAAGCGTCCACATATATACGTACGGAGTATTACTTTTTTATTATTATCACTAAGAAATTCATTAAAACTTATCATAAAAGAAATAATCAGTCAAAATCAAGGAAAAATATGAAAAATACTGTATCAACATCTAGATGAATAATTATTTTCATTCCTTTCCATAGAGATGCTCCACTAGCTAAATAGGAAAATTATGTGAATTTTGAATTGAACTCGACCAATGTTTATCAGAGAAATTAAAAAGAATAATACTAAAAGCACGTAAGTGATTTCGCAATGCCACGCTCCTAAGAGCTTACAAGCTTAAAACTTAAAAGTGGAAAAGTATAACACTTTTTCACTTCTATGGTGGTAAAATTGCACCTGTGAGGATTCTAATCTCTTCTTTTACAACTTAAAACTTAAAAAGAAGAAAAAAATAACGATTCTACTCCTATGCAGACAGGGTCGGAGCCGAAGGCAGGTTCGGCCGAACTCAGTAACTTTTGTTTAATTATATTTATTTTAAAAAATTTATTAAATATGTGTAAATTATTAATTTAGAACTCATTGACTTAAAATAACTAAAATACTGAACCATAAAATTTTAAATCCTGATTCCGCCTGTTCGGCGTACCTACCACAAATTTCGTTGTTTGCTATTTTACCTTTCTACTTCTGCTTTTGATAAGGTAGTAAAAATAAATTTGGATATGTTTTAAAGTGTATATGATTTGTTGTGATTGAAAATTCAAAGGTTGCTACATAAATTAAGAATAACTTGAGCTAACTTCATTTAGTCATTTACCAACTAAACTTAGGATGTGTTTGGTATGATGGAAAATATTTTTTCAAAATTATTTTCCAATTTTCCCATATTTGGTTGATTTAAATATTTTAGAAAATATTTTTCTTATCAACTCATTTTCCTTTAATTGGAGAAAAATATTTTCCTTATCAAGAGAAGGGAAAATATTTCCAAAACTCTTTCTCAACCTTCTCCACCCTCACTCACCCACCTAACCCCACCCCTCTCTCCAAAAAGNGGTTCGGAAGGTTGTTGGTTCGAAAGTTTATGGCTTAATGTTTATTGTATCTAAATTATTTATGAATACTCTTGAGAAGTTATTTTTTTTAATTTGCGTACCAAACACCGAAAAATGAATAAAATTACTACTTGTTTTTCAAAAAAATATTTTTTCTTGAAAAATATTTTTCACGGAAAATATTTTCCGTTATATCAAACACACCCTTAATCTCAAATCTGAAGTCTTACGGAGTGTACTATTTAAATGTGTCTTTGACTTATGATGCTTACACTGTAACTAAACCGTACTTATTTTTATTAACAAGAATTGGTAGTTAAGTGGCAAAATTGAGACCCTGAATATTTATACCAATCGCTTATGTAGTTGTTAAGTATTTGTTATCAAGAAAAAATAAGATATATAGTTGAAACTCTTTGATGTATGTATCCCAACTGCTAAGAGGAAAGATAGAAAAGAGATAAGCATGATAATCCTTCTCTTATTGGCATTGACACTCTATTTATAGGTGTTATTTGACACTGCTTCAAAAATTCTTTTTACATGTATGTGTAGAATGAATAACGTGTTGTCAAAAATAATATGTAGCATTATATATGTATATAATATTTTCATATGCAATGTAAAACTTAAGTTGGGATACAAAAAGTAAAAGGCAAAATACATAGTTTACCCGTCAAATTTGCACCGAAATCTCTGTTACACACATTTTCTTTACCGGTAATCTTTTACATACCCAACTTTTTAAAAGTGTGTCGAAAACACACCTCTTCAGTACTTGGACACTTTTTTCTCATCGAGTGTATTCACGCACCAATAATAACGTGACACGTGTAATTGATTTTAAAAAAACTTGAATTTATAATTATATCCATCTTTTTCATCTTCTGTAACGACCCGACTGGTCATTTTGAGCAATTGCATTTTTTTCGGTAGTTTGAAGGCTCGAGTATCTCCGCATGATGTATTATGATTTGCGTAAATCGTCGGTGTTGGTTTTCAAGTTATCCGGAATTGATTTGGAAGAATGAAATTCAAGATTTAGCCTTGAGTTGGAAGAGTTGACCAAGTTTGGCCTTTTAGTATTGGATCTCGGAATGGAATTTCGTGAGTTCCGTTAGCTACGTTGGATGATATTGAACTTAGGAGCGCGTCCAGATTATTAGTTGGAGGTCCGTAGTCGAATTAGTCTTGAAATGGCAGAAGTTGAATTTTTGGAAAGTTTGACTGGGAGTGAACTTTTTGATATCGGGGTCGGATTTCGATTTCGGAAGTTGGAATAGGTCCGTAATGTTAAATGTGACGTGTGTGCAAAATTTGAGGTCAATCGGACATGTTTTGATAGGTTTCGGCATCGGTTGTAGAAGTTGAAATTTCAAAGTTTATTGATTTTGACTTAAGGTGCGATTCGTTGTTTCGAGGTTGTTATGCATGAGTTGAAGTCCCGAGTAGGTTCGTTTCGTCATATGGAACTTGTCTGCAAAATTTGGTGCCATTTGGAGTTGATTTGATATGGTTCGAACGCTTGGTTGCGATTCTAGAAGTTCTTGAAGTATCCTTTGATCTTCATACGTTTTGGCGTCCGATTCGTGATTCTAGAGGTTATTTTGATGTTTTGATTGCTCGAGCGAGTTCGTGTGATATTTTTAGACTTGTGTGGGTGTTTGGTTTGGGGCCTCGGGGGAGTTTCGGATTAGTTTCGAATTGTTTTTGTTAAAGTTTTGAGTGTTGGTTCTGGTTTAATCGCATTTACGATGTTTTGGTCGCAAATGCAGCTATCGCATTTGCGAAACAGCCTCACATTTGCGAACCTGGACTGCTGGGTTGGAGTTCGCTTTTGCGAAGAATGCCCCCTTTTTCGCATTTGCGAAGCTTTTGGTCACAAATGCGACCTTAGCAGGAAAGTCTCCAGTTTGCATTTGCGATATTTTGATCGTATTTACGGATCGCATTTGCGAACCCCCTGTAAAATATTCTTGAATTATCTCAACATATTTATTAACAAAAATTTGTTCTGACTCCATGTAAAGTCAGTTTTAAGGGTTTTATTCTTCTAGACAGCAACTAGCAAACCACACACTCAATATAATTCTGCTTGAATTGCAGAAGACTGAAAAATGATCATGTAAAGAAAGGTATGAGCACTTACTCTTCTGCTATTAAATGGCATATTCTAAGCATTTTGTTCCCTGGAACTTCCCTCATTAAAGGTAGAACATAGAGAGTTACTTTCATGTTCGCGCAGACAAGAGGCAGAGCAAACATTTAATTGAACATAGAGAGTTACTTTCATGATAAATAAATAAAAAAAACTCCAGTAGTTTAATTTGATAATTGAACAAATAATAAAAGAGCAAATACACAAATGAAAAATGATTTTGAGTTGGACGAGATGGGATATGGTCGTGTATATATCTATTATTAAGCTCAAATTGATTTGTTCATCTTGACCGATCAAAACTAATTCAGATGGACAACTATCTTACTACCTTGTATGTTAATTGATTCAACCCGACTTAATTTACCTAATTTAGTCCAACTCGTCCATTTAGTAATCCTAATCTCTTCCTTGACATTTTTTATAATATAAATCTTTAACTTTGACCCAAAAAAAAAAAAGATCTATATCTCAGTTCCAAATAAGTTGAGTTTGGCTATATGAATTAATTCTCACTGACAATTATTTTCTATTTAAATCCATCTCAGCCAACATTACGTAGAATAAAAATGAAAACAAAGAATAAGAGAGGTTCTCTATAATTTCGACTAAAAGACTCTTAAAAGGCATAAAATCTATAGTAATACATACTAAGGTGACTAAAACATATTTTTGTGATGTTTTGCATACCTTTTTGTCAACATAATCAGCCCAAAACCTAGCTTGAGCTCTCTTATAAGGATCAGAAGGCATCAAAGGGGATTTGTCCATCCAAACTTCATCTATGTACTGAACAATGATAAGGGATTCACATATTGGTTTTCCATTGTGAATCAAGACTGGAATTTTCTTGTGAATTGGGTTCATTTGTAGGAGAAGAGGGGTTTTGTTAAACAAGTCCTGCTCCTTGTATTCATATTGGATGCCTTTTTCAGCCAAGGCAATCCTGACCCTCATACCAAACATGCTCACATAGGTATCCAAAAGGACAACTTCATCTGCCATTTTTTTGCTGAAAATTTAAGGATTGTTTAACAGAATTTCAAGATAATATTATGTGCTTTGTATTGAAGGTAAGTCATAATAGTGCTATATATTATATTACTCATATTAGAAGGGAACAAGAGGTTGGTACAAAGTTGATGTCGAGTGTGGACCATGCTAGAAGTGTCCACATATATACATACGGAGTATTACTTTTTTATTTTTATCACTAAGAAATTCATTAAAACTTATCATAAAAGAAATAATCAGTCAAAATCAAGGAAAAATATGAAAATACTGCATCAACATCTAGATGAATAATTATTTTCATTCCTTTCCATAGAGATGCTCCACTAGCTAAATGGGAAAATTATGTGAATTTTGAATTGAACTCGACGAATGTTTATCAGAGACATTAAAAAGAATAATCTATCTATCTATATCTATCTATCTATTTATCTATTTATCTATATCTATCTATCTATCTATCTATCTATCTATCTATCTATATCTATTTATATTATTATAAAAGCATAAATGATTCATGCTAAATATTGAACGACTAAAATATCTTTAAAATATTGATCGACTTTTATGCCCTTAAATATTTGTATAATTTAAGGATTTAATGGTAAATTACCTAATAATGGAATTCTTTTTCGATTTAAATTACACATATGCTCGACCCTACAACATTGATCCTGCTTGAACTAGAAAAGTACGTCCATAATTTTCATTCAAAATGTTATAAGAAATATCAAATTATGGTGGATGTCTACTCTTCCTCCATGATCTTCATCTCAAATACTTAATGACATATTCAATGACATATTTTCTATATTTAATGACATATTCAATAACATATTTTCTTTACTTTTCATGCCTATATAAAAGCCTTATAATAGATAAAAAAAATACACACAGTTGAAGAAGAAATAAGAATCTCTTCTCTCTTTCTCTATATATCTCTTAGCTTGTTTTTCCTTGTTCCATATTGTTACTTTGAGCTATATTTTATAACACGTTATCAGCACGAGACTCTACCATCTCAAGAAGCTCTTTGAGAAGACTAAGGTATAATTTTTCTCCTCTTATAATTATGACTGATATTATGAAAAGAAAGTTCGTTGCCCTTGAAATTTCGGGCAAGAACTATATGACATGGGTATGGGATGCTGAAATTCATTTAGATGCAATGGGTCTTGGAGACGCCATTAAAGACAAAAATAAAGTATCTACCTAAGACTGTGCTAAGGCCTTGATTTTCTTGCGCCATCATCTTTGTGAAGGGTTGAAAATAGAATATCTCACAGTCAAAGATTCACTTGTTTTGTAGAATGGCTTACAGGAAAGATATGACAACTTAAAGTTGGTCACTCTTCCACGCGCACGATATGAATGGGCTCATTTGAGGTTCCAAGACTTTAAGTCTGTTTCTGAATATAATTTTGCGATGTTCAGAATTACTTTTAAATTGAAACTCTGTGGAGATACTATCACTGACCATGATATGCTTGAAAAAACGTTCACAATGTTTCATGCCTCTAATATGGTCTTGTAACAGCAGTACCGAGAGAAAGATTTCAGGAAGTATTCTAAGTTGATTTCTCTTCTCCTTGTGGCTGAACGAAACAATGACTTGCTCATGAGAAATCACGAAAATCGACCCACTAGGTCTACACCATTGCCTGGGGAATGAGGTGTATTCCCATTTTTCTAAGCGTGGAAAAGGTCGTGGCCCTGTTCGAGGTCGTGATCGTGGCCGTGGCCGCGGCCAAGGAAGAAATTTTCCTGGTATTAATCACCCCCCCAAAGAAAAATAACCACCAAAAGTGGAAAGGGCCAAAGGCAAATGGTTCAGAAACTGAATGTTATCATTGCGATGGAAAATCGCATTGGACAAATATTTTGTCGCATACCAAAATATTTGGTTGAGCTTTATCAAGTATCTCTAAAGACTAAAGGCCCTGAAGCTAATTTTGTCTATGACAATGAATTTGACATCACCCACTTAAATGTGGCAGGTTTTTTTTAGCACCCTGATGGAAAAATAAACTATTCGATCGGTGATGGATCTGTGGTTAAAGATGATTGAGCAGTTTGATTTTTATGTTTTCCTATTCGTAGTATATAATGAATAAACATCTTATAATTTTTATTGCACTTAATAATACTTCTTATGTAGTTCTTAAAAATATATGTATTTCCGAAATTTCATAAATTTCACAAATAAGGAGTAATATCTAAGTAATTATTGTCCTAGTCTCAGTGATCTTTTAACGCTTTTTGATTTTCCTTTACGATACTTTAATTCTCTTTAAGAAAATGTTTATAAGCACCCTAAAATAACTTTTGTTACTTGACCCTCAATTCCTATCTTTGTTTGAAAAACGAAATCTAGTACATTGGGACCTCAATCTTTTTCATATACATGGATAAAATATTAGGAATAAAGAAAAGAGAAGCAGCTAAGTATGTTCTTTTCTTACGCGGATCAATTGTTTTTCATGCAATGTGTAGGAAAATATAAATAACTTATACATGTAAATAATTTTGTTGTAGTTGTATTAGTCATATGTGTAATGTACTTATAATTGTATTATTTTTACTATGTAATTATTTGTATCATAATTAGAATTTACTCGAAATTACATTAAAAGGCCACTATTAAATCATTGGTTTAACTTTAATTTTTTTTTCCCTTTTTCTCTGAAAATACTAATATTTATTCATATACTTCTTTTTGTATGTCAAACCATGTGAAGCAAATATGGATATCTCTCAAAGCAAACTTGGATCAAATTTCAATTGTAAAAATATTTGCTTAATTGATTCATGTACGATACATACAATATTCAAAGAGAAGAAATATTTCTCTCATTTAGGTATGTGTAAGGCAGATGTTACTACAATTTCTGGTAGTAGTAATCTAATTTAAGGCTCTGGAAGAGCCACTATAACTCTGCCTAATGGAACAATACTTATCATAGAGAATGCAATGTTCTCCTCCAAGTCCAAGAGGAACTTGTTGAGTTTTAAAGATATCCGTCGAAATTGATTTCATATTGAGATAATAGATGATAATAATATTGAATATCTCATCGTTACCAAGAATATCTCTGGCCAGAAAAGGGTTATTAAGAAGTTCCCATCTTTATCTTGTGGCCAATATTGGACGAGAATTAGTGCAACTGAGGCACATTCTATCGTAAACCAAAAGATTACTGATTCCAATACTTTTGTACTTTGGCATGTCGTTTGGGACATCCTGGATCAATTATGATGAGACGAATTATAGAAAATTCAAATGGGCATCCATTAAAGAATTTAAAGATTCTTTTAAATAATGAATTTTCTTGCACTTCTTGTTATCAAGGCAAGTTAATTATTAGACCATCACCAACAAAGGTTGGGATTGAATCCCCTGCGTTTTTGGAATGTATACAAAGGAATATTTGTGGATATATTCACCCACCTAGTGGGTCGTTTAGGTATTTTATGGTCTTAATAGACGCATCTTCTAGATGGTCTCATGTGTGCCTATTGTCATCTTGCAACCTGGCGTTTGTAAAATTAATGTCACAGATAATTCGATTACAGGCACAGTTTCCCGATAATCCAATTAAGTCTATTCGACTTGATAATGCTGCTGAGTTTTCGTCCCAAGTATTTAATGATTATTACTTATCAATTGGGATAAAAGTGAAACATCCTATAGCTTATGTTCATACTCAAAATGGCCTTACAGAGTCTTTGATTAAACGTCTGCAATTGATAGCAAGACCGTTATTCATGAAAACGAAATTACCCACCTCTGTTTGGGGTCATGCCATTTTGCATGCAACAATGCTAATTCATCTCAGACCGATAAATTATCATAAATATTCCCCGTTGCAATTAGTTTTGGGTCATGAACCTAATATATCCCAATCTATATATTTTTAGATGTGCTGTATATGTGCCTGTAACACCGCCATATCGCACCAAGATGGGTCCCCAAAGAAGGTTAGGAATATGTGTTGGGTTTGAATCGACCTTCATTATTCTCTACCATAAAACATTAGCGGGAGATTTGTTCACTGCTCAATTTGCAGATTGTCAATTCGATGAGGCATTTTACCCAAAATTAGGGGGAGAAATTGGTGAAACCAAACATGAAATTTTGTGAAAAAATATATCATTGTCTCATCTTGATACACGTGCCTTTATTTGTGAAAAAAGGTACAAAAGATTATCCATTTTCAGAAAATAGCAAATCAAATACAGATGCATTTACGGATCTGAAAAGGATAACGAAATCACATATCCCTGCAGAGAATGTTCCAATCCGTATTGATGTCCCTGTTGGACATTCTTCTAATGTCATAGCTAATGAGTCAAAAGCACGCCTAAAACATGGCAGACCATTGGGTTCTAAGAATCGAAATCCTAGAAAAATAAAAATAAATGATCAAGATGACACTACGAATGAGTCTCATAAAGAAACTCATGATTTAACCAATCCCGAAATTCATGAGAAAATCAATGAGCCTGATACTCAAGAAAATAAGAAACTATCAATAAACCCAATCGATATTCAGACATATTTGAATCGATTGAATATAGTTGTGGACTATGTCTTTGCATATAATGTTACATCTAGCATTATACAAGATAATGAGAATCTTGAAACTCAATCCATTGGAGAATGTCGACAAAGAAGTGATTGGCCAAAATGGCAAGAAGCAATCCAATCTGAGTTGGATTCACTTGCGAAACGTGAAATTTTTGGGTATGTAGTCCAAACACCTAATGGTATTAAATCTGTTGGCTATAAATGGGTCTTTGTACATAAAAGGAATGAGAAAAATGAGGTACAAAGATATAAGGCATGCCTTGTTGCTCAAGGATTTTCACAAAGGCTTGGTGTCAATTATGAAGAGACGTATTCTCCTGTTATGAGTGCTATAATATTCCGTTATCTCATTAGTCTTGCTGTCCATGAAAAGCTTGACATGCATTTAATGGATGTAGTTACAACCTACCTTTACGGCTCACTTGATAATGAGATATACATGAAAATTTTCGAGGGATTTAAAATGCCTGATGCACATAATTCAAAGTCCAAGGAAATAATTTTAATCAAATTGCAAAGAACTTTGTATGGTCTAAAGAAATCAGGAA